ATTCGATCATTTATTCTATTCTATGTTGACCCAAGTTATTCGATCATTTATTCTATTCTATGTTGACCCAAGTTATTCGATCATTTATTCTATTCGATTTTGAACCAGATTTTGATCGAAAACCCTTTCCCTTCTCCCCTTGCTTGGGTCCGAATACCTGTGTTTTCCATAGTATTCTCGGATTCACTTTCGAGATTGTATGCTTTAAATTTGCTATGAAAATGTAAACTAAATAGCTTTATACACTATATCAAACCTGAAATAGCTGACTAAAAACGCATGACCCCCAAAAATGTTTGCATAATTTAATGCAGCCCCTTATTTTTGGTGGAACAAGAAGGTATGGCCCCCTCCCCATTTGCACCAGCCCACCCCCCTCTAATAAATGGCCGGTCCCTTACGTCTATTTTTACTCCATTATTGAGATAAATTGGAAATTATTTGGATGTGACTGGAATGGATTGCAAGTGACTGGGCCTCGGTAAGTGACTGGAGCTTGAATCACAAAAAAAAGTTTTGAATTTTGACATTTTGAAAGGCCATGGATAATCTTAATGTATAGCAAAAACATACCCAACTTCTAAAACTTGTTTTCCTCTTCTAAATGCCCGAATTTTGAGTGTTTTTTTATTTTGGAAAATCCGGAACCGTACATGGATGGAATGGACTGGACTTCGAATGGCTGGATCGTACGGAACGTAAACGTCTTCTTACGCCGAATTTGCAGCTTTTAGCCTATGATTTTTATTTTATTACAAATAACTAGTGATTCTATTCCTAAATTTTGCAAAAATAAATGTAAAATTTTTAAAGATGTTTTTGGATCGTGGCACAGGACTGCTTATACATCATGTGTCTATAGGTGACTCTGTGGATCGTTACAGATTTCTTACGACTAATTTTCCTCCATCCGAAATAAAAATTAGAAATCGGGAACATATTYTTTTATTTTTGGCAAGTCTTTTAACGTAAGCGCTCTATACCTGAAGTCCAAGAAATCCTGGCATAATAGTTCTTCGCCGCAGGCCAGAAGAAACGCAGGCTCAAAGACTTATTCTCTCGAAAAGGCCTGGTACCTAGTGTAAAATATTTGATATTACACTTTGTATTACAAGATTTAAACCCTTAAAATCAAAGTTATAATGAATAGCTATCTACTTAGCTTATGTCTTCTAGGGACATTACTTGAACTAGTATCAAGTAGTAGTAGCGATCTATCGGGTGGTCTTGGAGATCTGGCGAAGATTTTGGCGGAACTTTCAGGCGGAAGTCAATGCGCTTTTAAATGTCCAAAAGGTAAGGAAAAAGAGCTCTAAAAACTATCTATCACAACGTTCTGGAGGTACTATAAAACCGAGGAGCTAGTGGATACTCAAATGATTAATATTAACTTCAATCTTGAGTAGTTTCATGACTTGGTTACTTCGAAGACAAATTTAAATTTAAACTTTTTGATTGGCTTTTTATAAAGTCCGTTTCCAAGAAAATTATGAAGTTGAAAAGAAGAGTTTGAAAACTCTTTTGATCACATTTAAAGACTTTAAAAGCTTATTGTTTCAATGTTTGGACTTTATTAACCGTGTTATTAAAACTAAATTTTGGAATGTTGTGTTGAAACAATATTCATAACGAGATCGCCATCACCTGTATCAAAGCAACATGCAAAACTTGACTGTTAGTAATTACGTTATCACAATATAAATATTCAATGTCTTTTCATGTGTTTTACTTTAGATTTAATATTCTTAAGAAAAATTTTAGGAAATATTTCAACTTTCCTCTTAAAATTGTCACTGTATAGTGACTTGGTTAGATGTGATTGGCTCTTTATCCCATACCAGAACTCTCATTATTCATTCATGTTCACAAGCCTGGTTAAACACAGCTGTATCAAAGATTTTTAAAATTCATTAGCTAAATAAACTTCAGAGTAATTTAGATTTCATATTTTTGCACCTGTTTTAATGAGACTCACTGTTGTGCTTTTACATGAAGATATAGAAATATAGAAAAGTTATAGTGCTTGGGAACGAGGGTATTCCGGGCGAAAGCCCTTGGAATTAAATTCGGAAAAATTAATTTCCGACCTCGCTGGGAATCGAACCCACGACCTTCGGAATTGTACTACCGATGCTCTACCAGCTGAGCTGCTCTCAGTCTGACCTCTGGCTCAGCTGGTAGAGCATCGGTAGTACCCTCGTTCCCAAGCACTGTAACTTATCTATATTTCTATATCTTCATGTATTTCATAAGTGCTACGCGGTCCACATATTCTCATGTTGTGCTTTTACTTGAGTTTCATTCAGCTGATAAAAGTCTTTGAATCTCATTATCTGCTCCTGATGGCATTCACACACTGACCACCATGTGCTGTCAGCAAGAAAAAATTGTATTGAAAACTTGTGAATGACGTCAAGTAAAACCAAGAAATCTTCATCAGAATTAGAACTGCTCTTTTGATAAGCTACTGTATTATACATTTCTAACTGGAGAATCCATGTAAAAATTGTGGTCACCTGCATTTTATCACATTTAATATAGCTTTTATATTTCTGGATCCTAGGAAAGACACCAATTTCAAATCCAAGTCATACACCTTCTAGCAACGGTTGTGGTTCAATGGGATTACAGGTAATACATTTTAAGTTGTATATATTTTGCTTCACATTTTTGACAGACAGTGAAAACAACCTCAGGGCTGATCAAAGTTAGGGCAATACCGTTAGGGGTACCTTGTTAGGACACAGCTAAATCACAGATTGAACCCTGAAACAACCTCCAGGCAGATCTAAGTCAGGGCACACCTGACTTACAGATTGAACCCTGAAACAACCTCTGGGCTGATCAAAGTTGGGGCATAATTTCTGTTTTAACATGGTCTGTGTATCTTTATATTCCAGATAGACACAACAAACCTACCAGGTTTTACAGAATGCTGTAATATCCATGATAAATGCTACGACACATGCAACAGTGATAGAAACCAGTGTGACGAAGACTTCAAGTCTTGTTTAGATAACGTTTGCCTCATTGAAGGGCTCGGGAAGAAACTCAGTGAAAAAGAATTAAAATCATGTGAGACTTCATCAGATTTGTTTTATTCCGGCACCCTGGCATTAGGATGTATGGCTTATAAAGAAGCTCAGAGAAATGCTTGTTTATGTGATGGAAGAACAATTACAAAGAAAGAAATGGAAGAATTGGAAAAAATGGAGCGTGGAGGCGAATTATGAAAGATTTATTGGAATATTATATAATGATATGTTCTATATTTTAGTCTTTTATTTATTACAGTTATATCATCAGTAAAATCCTGAATTTTTGATTGGAATTTAGGTTAATAGGTTTCCTGAATTTTTTACCAATTGACCAATTTTTGATCCAATTGGCATTGAACAACAATTTTGAAAAAATTATTCGATTATTTATTGAAGCCTAATACAAGATTGTGAACCAACTTTTTACATAAATAAAATTTTATGTCAATGTTTTCTTGCTATTATAAAATTACTGCTATTATAAAATAACTGCTCTAAATCTTGCATACTGATTGGTTGGGAGCACGTGCTCTATGAGAGCACACAGCACACAGCACGCACTTACACTTTCAGTTTTGTCATTCATGTAATTTGTATTTTATCTTAAAAAACTTGCTGTGCTGTGTGGAGTTATGAAGCACTTTGGGGATTGGCAGATAACTTGAGAAGTGTCAAGAAGCACTTGTCTATGCGTCGTGTTTCTCCTAACACTAAGAAGTCTTCTCTCGTTTTCTGCCAATCCCCGCTTGCTTTAAAAAATGCACATAGCACGTGCGCTCGTTCTCTATTTCTTTAATAGAATAGTAGAGAATTATTAACTAACCTGTCTCTACTTCTTGTTATCCCAAGGGTCTTGTCTTTGCTTCTGGATAAAACTATCAACCTTTATATCCAGTAGCTTCTTTAGGTCCTTCAAAGGTGTTTTACTTTCACTTGGGGTCTTGGGTATTCCAAGCCGTCGTCTTACTTTGGGTAGTCTCATCAGGATGTTTTGGCCAACACCATATCCAGCAGATGCTGCCCAGTAGAGACTCATAGCCTAAGTGTTGGATATACTAGTTATACAATGGTTTTGAACAGCATACCATGAAATATACCATGAATCACTTGCATAGACCCCTAGTCTCCCTTGCATCCGTTTTTAGTGTCGGTCTTCACACAACGCTCCCTCCCCACTAATAATTAAGTACAAAGGACACCAGACAAATTACACTTTACTATATTATTTGTGGGGAGGGAGTGTTGCGTGACGACCGACACTAAAATCGGATGCGAGGGACATTAATAGACCTCTTGCAGTACGTCGGAATGCAGCTCAATTTGGAGGTCATAACAATAGGTTTCCAGTTCTCAGGAGAATGAAATTTGTTTGCTTTGTTCTCCGGCTTCAGCTGCTTCAACATCACATTCTAAGAACTATTAGAAATAAAGTCAAATGACTGCCCGCCTCTCTCCAATGCAACCCAAGTCTCGTATTCCCGCTGTGTTATGTGTGAGAAGAGTTTCTAGTGGATTCTTTAATGTGCTTCAAAGGTTTTCTATAAAAATTAATTTTCAAATTCCAATCATGCACGCAGACCACAGGTTTATTAGCTACAGTACTGACTATCTTTGTGCTACCCTGAGTGCTGTATTCATTACTCACACAAGGGACCTGGGAAGCCAGGAATATCATAGCAATAGACATGGTCCGCAGAGAGTTAGTGAATATTCGCTGATTTCTTGATGGCTGCTGACGGCGCAGTGCATGAATCTGTATAAAAATGAAGTTATTGATAACTATTAGTGATGATGATGATGATGATGATTGATATAATGAATTTTTTCAATGATCAATTTAACTTTTTTATGAAGGCAACGATGATGGTGGTGATAAATGATGATGATGGTGGCAATAAATGATGATGACAATGAAGATGGTGGTGATGATGATGTTGATAATGATGACAATGAAGATGGTGATGATGATGAAGAGGCTTTTGATGATGCTGCTGCTCTTGTTGATGATGATGATGGTAATGGTGAAGATTGGATAATGGTGTAGTTGATGATGACGATGGTATGATGATCAAGGTGATAATAGTAAAGATGCTGATATTGATTGTGATGGTGACGATGATCAAGATGATAGTGATGCCTGATCTTCTCATTAGAATGATCATAGACTTGAAGAAGAGAAGAAAAACAAAAAACAAAAAAATTAAAAAAAAAAGTGCTTTCTTTTTCCAGCCACATCCTCTTTCCCCAGCCACATCCTCTTTCCTCATTCGTTTTCATAGTGAACATATTAAACCAATGTATTCGGACAAAACCAATAAAGAAAATGTTTTATCAAATTGTTCCGCCTCAATATCTTTTTCCATTCCAAAAACGTTTCAAAATAAAAGTTAACCAACTATAGGTCTTTTCTACGTTTTTGGAAAGAAAGAACTTTCCATGCACACCAACTTTGAACGCGCCGTGTTTAAAACTAGTTTATGCGTCTGCCTTTGTGATAAAAACATTTTTAAAGGAATCATCGATTAGTCAAAACATACCAGTTCAAATGACCAATCAACGCAGGTTAAAACAGACAACTGACCAATCAAAATCAACACAGGTTGACACACGACAACACAACAGGTTATTCGCCGCCTAGCAACAGGTGGAAACAACGCTTTCATACATATTCAGTAAAGAACAGAGAAAAACAATTCTGTTTGCGAAATAAAAAGAACGAAAAACTGAAACGAAAGAATCTTTGCAGTTGGAAAAAATACGATAAAATTTGCAAAATTTCAGTGCAAATGATCCTGGATTTTTAGCAAGAAAATGAGAAAGACAAACAAAGATAGTATCACATTTTTAGAAGTTGTTTTCATTGTTTTTGTTTCTGTATACGAAGTAGAGATAAGACAACTTAAAGATAATAAATTAAGTTTTCGCTCGAAGAACCTTCCTCGAATACTAACGAGTAATAAAAATATCCGTGAGTTTAAGTTCCTTTAAGTTATTTTTGTATTTTGTGGGGTTGGCCAACGCTCGAGATGTTGTCACGATGTAGCGTTAGCCACACCTTGCACGCTTAACCGGTTTCAACTTCAACACAGCCACTCAGAACACAGTAATCAAGACAAACACGCGAAGGTTTAGTGGTGTGGCGATGAGAACAAGTTAACTGGGAGTGAGCAGATTAAATAATACGGATAGTACAGGTGAACACCCATCCACACACAAACGAGGACTCTGATCAGTTATTACTGGTCTAAAGAGTGCTCGTTGGAGCTCTGAGACTCTGTGGAACTCCTTACTTAGGTAAGATTGTTTTTCTTTTTTTCTTACTGCGACGCAAAACTAACGTCCAAAACGTCAGTACAGCTAGAAACGTGTTTACACGGTGTTCAAGGTTCCTTCTGTTCTCATTCACTCGTATTCAACACACGGCCACCGCAGTCTCAACAAGTAACCACTGGTCATTCTTATTCACTTGTCGTATTTAACACACCAATACAGTCTCAATCAGTAACCGCTAGTCATTCTTATTCACTTGTCGTATTTAACACCCCAACACAGTCTCAACTAGTAACCGCTAGTCATTCTTATTCACTTGTTGTATTCAAAACACAAACACACCCGGGCCAACACAGTCCCAACTAGTAACCACTAGTCATTCTTATTCACTTG